TGAAACAAGTTATATGAATTGTTGAATGTGAAACTGATGATGTGCCCTGAAAACTTTCACTCAATCCACAATAAAAACCTTAAATTAAAAAAATAAATAAATAGGATTTTTATCCAAGTGGAAAGTAATGGTCTAGAAACCTGGAAGGATTCAGACTTCATCTCTGAACACAATAAATAGGATGTAAGACTTAGGAGAAGGGCAGCATTCATTTTAAAGGAATGCAGGGGACATAGTATTCTCAGTGGGGAGAGCCAGATTTCAGTTAAAGGAAGGAAGTAGGAATTAACGATCTATAAAAAGCTTGAGAAATAAGAGCTTCAATTAAGGCGAGTTCTCAAGGCATAGATTGTGGGGTAAACAGAGTATAAAGAAACAATGACTGGAGGATCTTGTATTTCTGATAGAGACTTAAGGTGCCAGAAGAGAGTGTGGTCGCATTGAATGCTTGAGATTTATTATTTTAAGTTGGATTTATTAAGTTGTTTCCATTAATATCAGATTTGATTATCAGCGATCAGATTAAATGTTTCTGAGAAGTTATTAATTTTTTTTAAATGTTCAGATGGGTTGTGAAAATTAACTTATTATAATAAGCCTGTGACTCAGTTTAATCTAAAAGAAATGTGAATTTCATTATCAGGAAGTAAAATGGCTTAATGCTAATGATGTTAGATGTAAATAATATGTCCCATTTATTCCCACAGTTTTCTCTACTAACTTATTAGATATATTCTGTTGTCTGGATTTTCTGCTTAATTCTTGTGTTCTGAAATATATTGATATCATAACTCAAAAGTAATTTTTATTTACTTTTATTGCTTTGAATGAAAATAGCAGTTATACAAAAGGGATGGATTTATTCTGTGAGTTCTCATTTGATATTATTTCATTGCTTTGAGTTTTATCCTTTTTGAGAAGTTGTAGCCCTGTATATTAAGGAGCTCTAGTAGCATAGTGGTTACAAATCGGGCTGTGAACTGCAAGGTAAGCAGTTCAAAACTGCCGGCTGCTCTGTGGGAGAAAGATGAGGCTTTCTGCTCCTGTAAAGATTTATAGCCTCAGAAACCCTGTTCAGGGTCACGTTGGGTCAGAACCGACTCGACGGCACTTAACAACAACAACCCTGTATATTAAAAAAGTGAAAACAGAAAAAGATGCATTTTCTGTTCCAATGTAATATCCCTATGCTCCAGCCCCAAAGTTGGAACAGCACCATACTAGGACTCCCTCTTATATCTTAAATGTGCTTTGTCTTTTTTTTGTAAGTATCCAAGTACTTACCTACCCCCGTTAGAGGCTGTTCAGGGTTCTAGCAAGTTAGTGAACTGGTATCCTCTAAATAAATGACTTTCTACCCAAACCATACTTTCTTCATGTCTCTCATTCAAATTGAATAGACGCCTACTGCCATTTAGTGGATTCCAACTCATAGCAACCCAGTATAGGGTTTCTGAGACTAATCTTTACATAAGCAGACAGTATCACTTTCTCAATGGAGTGACCTTGCAATTAGCTGCCCAAGCCTAACCCATAGTGCCAGCTTCCTGAGCAGCTGTCCTGTCCCTTCTTTCCCACATTTAACAGCAGCTGTGGTGCTGTGGCTTAATGTGCTGGACTGCAAGGTCACTTTAAACCTCAAGGTCGGCAATTCAAGCTTACCAGCCGCTCCTTGAAACCCTATCTAGGGATGCTATGGGTCAGAACCAACTCAACGGCACTTAACAACAGCGTACACTTTCCTTTGTGATTTTCCTTTTCTTAATTCTGGTAGCGTAGTGGTTACGAATCGGGCTGTGAACCTTAAGGTCAGCAGTTCGAAACTACCAGCCACTCCGCGGGAGAAAGATGAGGCTTTCTACTCCCGTAAAGATTTACACCCTTGGAAACCCTGTACAGGGTCGCCATGGGTCGGAACCGACTCGACGGCACTTAACAACAACAACAACAATTCTAATTTAAGTGTTTGTTTTCTCAGTTTTCAGTACACTGTTCTAAAGACCTCTGTTCCCTATTTATGATGATCTATTCAAAACTAATTGAAAGCCTACGAACATACACTTGAACTATCACTTGATTTATAACACATAGAGGTTCTTATCCATAGATTAATGTAATGTGATAAATCCACAGTGATCACAAATTATTTTACCTGGTGGTGCACCAGTTGCTTCTCATCTTCCTAAAATAACTGAAACAGAGCAGTAATTTATTAATTTAAACAAAGCAACAATTTAAAGCAAAACAGTAAAAACAAAATGAAGTATAAGTAATTTAACAATTTATGCTGATGTTTTAGTCTTGGCAGTTCTAATTTGCCATAAGAGATGTTCTTTCAGATAGTAGAATACTGCCTTTCTTAAGGGGAACATGGTGACCCTATAGGATAAGCACTAGACTACGAAGCATGAGGTTGTCAGTTCGAGCCCACCAGCCACCAGTAAGCAGTTGTTCATGGAGGCAATTAGATAGGCATTCCATTTTCTCCTCCCAATTTCTGATTTTCTTTTTCCCTGTGTTGCTCCTGATGTGCATAGTCCGTAGGTTGTAGTTTTAATTACTTGGTAAACCTCTCTGCCCACTTTGGATATTCTCTTGTATAACAAGGCTCACACGGTAACTTGTAATAAGTGACTCTCAAGTTCAGATTCACTGGTTCTCACACTGTTTCTTCCTTTGTCTGTAATGGCATTAATAATTTTTTTTTTTCATTAAAAAGATAACCCTGAACTTATAGTTCATCTTTCAGCTGTTTCTGTATGCAAACAACTTACTGAACTCTCATTTGTATGTTTGTATTGTAAAAGGCCTATATGGCAGGAAGACTTAAGAAATATAAGATTTTAAAAAGCAGTATTCAGAAACCAGTTTGCCATTTTATTTATTTGTCTCAATGATCTTTCCTATCATCCCCTAGGAATTCCAGTTTTAGAACCAACCTCTTAAGTACAAGTAGTATGTTATGAGAATGTTGGGCTATTTTCTCTAAATGTTTAAACTCTTAAGTAATTGTTAAAACAAATTATTTTAATTTGCTTTTGACAATTTACACAGTAAATTAGGTTCTCATTTGACAGTTTCTATATGAGTCAGAACCAACTCCGTGGCACACCACAACTACCACAACCATACAAATGTACATTTTTAGTGATGTTACGTTTATAACAGTGTGTCAGTAATGTTCTCTTTGTGTTCTAGTTGTTATGTTCGTAGTGCTTTAGTTTTCCTAACTCCCTTGTCTTCTCATCTTTGTTTTTAGTTGATATTAATCCGTTGTTGTTGTTGTTAAGTGCTGTCGAGTCGATTCCGACCCATAGCGACCCTGTATAGGGTTTCCAAGGAGCAACTGGTGAGCTTGAACTGCCGACCTTGCAGTTCAAACAGCTTTGCAATCTGGTGCATTAAACCACAACGCCACACCAGGACTCCATTTATCCTTTTTTTTCCCTTTAAGTTTTTATTGTGGTTATGTGGGTTTACATGGGAGAACATCAGCTTCACATTCATCCTATCGTATTTTGTTTCATTGCAATGATTACAATTCCCTCCATGCATCATCAATCATATAAATGGTTTTTGAATAGAGCACTATGTTTATGGATAATATCTTTTATCTTGTGTATCACTTAGTTGATTTCTTATGCAATGTATATTGCAATTTTCAGCATTGAAAGAATAAAATCCTAAAAGGTGTTTTCTCCCCCAATTATACACACAAAACATTAAGAAATTATAATTCACATAGTTTCCATATAATAGTTTCAAATAAAAATTTTTTGTGGTTTAGTTTAGTATTTTCAACAAAGTCAGCTGATTAAATCCTCTAAGAAGAAAAATATGTAAAGTTAATAGAAAGAAATAGCTTAAATATTTGTCTAGTTTCGTCTTTAGGAAGAGATACCAAAGTTTTGTTGTATAGTGGTGGTGGTGGTGTGCTGTGGAGACGGTTCCGACTCATAGCGACCCTTTACAGGGTTTCCGAGGCTGAAATCTTTACGGGAGCAGAAAACCTCATGTTTCTCCTGCGGAACAGCTGGTAGTTTCAAACTGCTGACCTTCACAACCCAACTTATAACACTATGCACAGATTAAATTTCATTTAATCCTTATTTACTTTTAGATTTCCTTATATTTATATTACCAGTGGTTATGAATCAGGCTGCAAATTACAGGGTCAGCAGTTCGAAACTACCAGCTGTTCCGTGGAAGAAAGATAAGGCTTTCTGCTCCTGTAGAGATTTACACTGTATAGGGTCGCTATGAGTCGGAACCAATTCCACGTCATATAACCAGCAGCACCACCACCAATACTAGGTTTCTAACCAAAAACCTTTGTGTTTGGTATAAGAAAATAATCTAGTATTTTTTTGTATTTATTAACTTAACAAATTTCTTTCAGTCTCGTAGTGTGGACAAGCAACATGCTGTAATCAATTATGATGCCTCTACAGATGAACACTTGGTGAAAGATTTGGGCAGCCTAAATGGGGTAAGTTAAGAGTTTATTGTTTGTCTTAGGTGAAATATTTGTTTAATATTTTGAGAAGACATATTATATTCCCTGTTTGTATACATTTCTTTTATCTTTAGTTTTCTATTTTACTTTTAAATGCTTAATAGGTACATAGCACTTACTGGGTTATATAAGAAGAATATGAAATTAATTCATGTTCCCAAGAAACTGTCTAGGAAATAAATATTTAGGAATTCAGAAGTAAGGTGGTTACTATTATCTGAAATGATTAAAGGTACTTCTAAAAGTAGATGAGAGACCTCAGTTTGACCTTAAATTTATATGTGAGAAAGCATGTGGGAAGTCATGACAGTAAGTATGCAAAGCAATCTTGGGGATACAAAAGTATATGTTAACTCTAGAAAACAAAAGTGGAAAAATAGTTTGATGTCAGATGGTAGAGGGCCTTCTTCTATTCTAGGGTAAAAAGAAATAAAACATCCATCTAATTTAACACGAACTAAACATTATTGTTAAGGAGCTTTGGTAGCATAGTGGTTACGAATTGGGCTCCTAATCTCACAGTCAGCAGTTCTAAACTACCAGCTGTTCCACAGGAGAAAGATGAGGCTTTCTGCTCCTGTAAAGATTTACAGCCTCGGAAACCCTGTAGAGAGTCGCTATGAGTTGGAACTGACTCCACAGCTCATAACAACAACAAACATTATTGTTGTTCAGTGACTTCAAATTTATTTGGCTTAAGTGACCATATGTGCAACCGAATGAAACACTGCCTGGTCCTGCACCACCCTCACAACTGTTCCTATGTTTGGTCCACTCTTGTAGCCACTGTGTCAGTCCATCTTGTGTTCAAAATTGCTTTGGATTTCTATGTTGTATATATTTTTGTGTTACTGTATTATACTTTCTATATTTAGTTATTCTACACTGACAAAATGTAACTAGTTACAGAATATGAGAATGATAAAATGTTGAATATTTTTTATCTTTTTCAATTTCTCAATATTCTCAGAGTTTTACTGTTGTTGTTATTAAATGCCAAAGAGCCCTTCTGACTCTTAGCAATTCTGAATAGGGTGTCAAAAGAGTGACTGCTGGTTATAAATTCAGTGCTTATCTTACAGCGCCACACCAGGACTTCTAGCACAGATCATATAATTCTATATATGATATTGTTCATATCTGTGCTGTTGAAATTATTAAATTAATTTAATAAGAACTAAATATATTCTATCTGCTTCAAAATACTGTTGCTTTTCAAAACACACATCAAAACATTATATGGAGATGCCCATTGACCTGGAGATGAGAGAGAGTAGAGGACAGGCTGGTTGGTCTGAAGTGTGGTAAGACCTGGGGACTCCTGAGTCCATGAACAAGGACATAGCCATGGAGGGTTAGAGCTGAGAGGGAAGCGTCCAGCTGATATGAAGTGAGGGTAGAGGTACAAGAACACCCAAACTTGCAGATAGTACCCGTTTGACCTAGCTTCGATGGCATAATGATCAGAACTCAACTACAGGTAGATGAAAAAAATTTTTGATAAAGGAAACAAGTGTAAATTACTACAGTTTGATGAACTTGACTTATACTTATGAATATAGTAGCTCAAAGTACCTAACTGAGAGGAAAGGAGTCTTCACCTCAAGTATCAATCCTGTCTCTGCTGTATACAGAGTTGATAGGGACTGGCAACTTAGACATTGGCTACCTAAAATGGGGCACGAAGTGACTGGCTTATAAATTTTCAAGAGGGATTTTAGTTTCAGAGAGTGTGGGGAAAGGTAGAATCTCCACTGGATAGTATTCACCTTGTGTAGATGAGTCTGGTGAAAAGAGATGAGGATAAGATTCTTATGATTCAGTTGTTGTTGTTGTTGTTGTTAAGTGCCGTCGAGTCGGTTCCGAACCATAGTAGTGAGTAATTATTATGACTAATTGCGATGATCACAACTGTGAAGTTAGAAATTTTGTAACAAAAAGGAACAGAGAACCCTAGGACCATCAAGGGAGAAAAGCATGAGTGGAATGTGGGACCCTATCCAGATAATCAGAGAAACCAGAGATGGAGACAGAGATGAAGACTTGGAGAAATAGAGCAGCTGAGGACTCTTAGATACATGGAAAGAGAAAGGTTATATGCTGGTGGCCAGGTGCTGGTGACCAGGAAGTAGGCTTGCAGAATGTGCCCTTTGGTTGCTTAAATGTTTATGTATTCCTGAGTATTTTTGTGTACATACACAAAGAAAAACAGAGGGAATAGAAGTAAATACTATTGAATGTTGATGCATGGAGGAGATTGTAATCATTGGAATGAAACGAGTGTAAAACCAGTGTTCTCCCAAGTAAACTATCTCTCAATTCACAATAAAACCATTAAAAAAAAAAACCCAAACAAACATTATATGGAAATACATGCAGAAATTTGACAAATCTAGTATAACATTTTTTTCCCAAATTCTGAATTTGTCTGCTAATGCAGATTTTTAATTTTTATTCTTTGAAATTTTATGTAGGCAGGATATAATTTTCTGTTTTTATTCAAGCCTTTATTTGTTTTTAATGGCACATACCATTAAGTCTACAGTTTTCAGTTTTGTATTAAAATTCCTCACATTTGGCATCTACGCACTTTGCCAGACTTAGGCTTCAACACACTTGCCCTTGCCGGACCTTCAGAGAGTAGACCTCCTAATATATTCATTCTTCCTTCTTGAAATATTTTACTAGACTTCTTTCTGCAAAATGCCCTTTGAAAATATTAACTAGCTGATATTGTTACCATTTTGAATGGATTCAAGCCGAAGGAAGTAGGCAAACTAGGTAAAAATTGTTATATTAATATGTGGAATGTAAGTAGGTAGTTTGGATTTCTGTCTCCTGTTTTCCAGAATTCCTATCTTCCTTCTCTACATTCATAAACCTTTGCTTTATTTATTACTTTTTAAAACTTTTTATAGTGAAATGAGTGAAGGTTTACAAGGTAAGTCATCAGTTTTACATTCAACAAGTCATTCGCATTTCAGTGATTGCTATTCCTTCAGTGAAACATCACTCATCCCACTTCCTCCCTGTGTTTGTTTTCCAACCCTCTGACCTTTGTCCTTGGTAAATACGGCCCTTTTGATCTTGAATGGTTGACCTTTACATGATGTTCATATCTCATTAGTGTTTCTCTCTCCTTGTGTCCTGGTGTGGAGCTGTAGGATAAGCACTGGACTGCAAGGGTTTGAACCACAAGGTTGGCGATTCAAACCCACCAACTGCACCTTGGAAACCCTATGCAGGGTTGCTGTGAGTCAGAACTGACATCTAACAACAACATACCTATCTATTGTTGTTGTTAAGTGTCATCAGGTCAGTTTCTCGAACTCACCATAACCCTGTCTTGGGTTTCTAAGGAGTGGCTGCTGGGTTTGAACTGCTCTGTGGTTAGCAGTCTAGTGCTTATCCTACAGTGCCACACCAGAAGTACAATCATCTAGTTTTTCTGGTCTCAAGGCCATGAAGACTGATGTTCTCGTGATATATTACTCCTTTGGATTAACTATATAAATCTTTGCTTTCATCTCTTATTTTGGTTATTTGCATTAAACCTATTCCGACATACCTGTCCCTCTGCTGGATTATGAGCTCCTGAACAGCTCCTCTGCCTTTTGCCTCTTGCAGTGTTGCACTGTGCCTAGCACTGGCATGAACCCAGTAAATCTGTTTCCAGTGGAGTTGAATTAATTTTCGAGCTGAAAGAATTCTTAGCGAAACTTTAAAACATTTATTTCTATATGTAGACTATTATGGTGGTGGTGGTGATTATGTGCTATGGAGTCAGTTCCAACTCATAGCAACCCTGTACAGGGTTTCCGAGGCTGTAAATCTTTATGGGAGCAGAAAGCCTCATCTTTCTCCTGCGGAACACCTGGTAGTTTCGAACTGCTGACCTTGAAGTTCACAACCCAATTTGTAACCACTATGTTACCAGAGCTCCAGTAATGTTACATTATTTTTAGTTTATGTTACTTTTAGACTTTTACTGCTTCATTTTTGCCACAATATGTTTGTATGTTGGAACATGTTTGTATCTTGGAACATAAACCCCCAAAACAAACCCACTGCCATTGAATCAATTCTGACTATTAGTGGTCCTAAAAGACCAAATAGAAATATTTGTTAGGGTTTCTGAGATCATAAATCTCTACTGGAGCAGACAGCCTCATCTAGCTCCTGAGGAATGGCTGGTTGGTCTGAACTGCTGACCTTGTGGTTAATTGCCCAACACTTAATCTGCTGTGCCAGCCCAAGGCTCCATCTTAGAACATAATGAATGATAATTACATTACAAGTGACCCAACAGAATGCGGAAATCATCAGACAATACCTTTGATATCCCATGCAAGTAAAGTTTTACTAAATGTAATACAGAAATGGTTACAGGCATTTATTGACAGAGAACTTCCAGAGGTTCAAGTCAGATTCAGAAGACGCCATAGAACGAGGGATATCATTGCTGATGTCCAATGGATCGTGGCTGAAAGCAGAGAATATCAGAAAGATGTTTACCTGTGGTTTATTGACTATGCAAAGGCTTTTGATTGTGTGGATTATGTCAAGCCATGGACAACATTGCGAAGTATGAGTATTTCTGAACACTTAATTTTGCTCATGAGGACTCTGTACATGGACCAAGAGGCAGTTGTTCAAACAGAACATGGGAACGCTGAATGGTTTAAAATTCAGAAAGGTGTGAGACAGGGTTGTATTCTTTCACCATACTTATTCAAACTGTATGTTGAACACATAATCTGAGAAGCTGGGTTCTATGAAGAAAAACGTGTCATCAGGATTGGAGGAAGACTCATTAACAACCTGAAATATGCAGATGATACAACCTTGCTTGCTGAAAGTGAAGAAGACTTGAAAAGTTTACTGGTGAAGATCAAAGAGTACAGTATGGATTGCATTTCAATGTAAAGAAAACAAAAATCCTCACCACTGGACCAATAAACAACATTCTTACCAATGGAGAAAAGATTGAAGTTGTCAAGGACTTCATTCTTCTTGGAAGCAGCAGTCAAGAAATCAAATGACATATTACATTAGGCAAATCTGTTGCATAAGACCTTTTTAAAGTGCTGAAGAGCAAAGATGTCAGCTTGAGGACTAAGGTGCGCCTGGCCCAAGCCATGGTATTTTCAATAACCTCATATGCATGCAAAAGCTGGACAGTGAATAAAGAAGACCGTAGAAGAACTGATGCTTTTGAATTGTGGTGTTGGAGGAGAATAATGAAAGTGCCTTGGGCTGCCAAAAGAACCAACAGATCTGTGTAGGAAGAAGTGCAACCAGAATGTTCCTTGGAAGACAGAATGGCCAAACTTCATCTCTCATACTTAAGACATATTGTCAGGAGGGACCAGTTGCCGGAAAAGGATATTATGTTTGGTAGGGTAGAGGGTCATAGAAAAAGAGGAAGACCACCAGCGAGATTGATTGGCCAACTGGCAGCATCAGTGGGCTCAAGCATGGCAACGGTAGTGAGATTGGCCTTAAATCGGGCAGTGTTTTGTTCTACTGTGCATAAGGTCACTATGAGTCGGTACTGACTCGATGGCACCTAACAACAACAACTATAGTTTTTTAAAATACTGTGATCAGATATAAATGTTACTTGTTTTTATTTACTCATTTTGAGCAGGTGTTACATGAACTAGATTTCTCTAGGCCTTTCTTATACTCTGATTATGTTCAATGATTTTATAAAACGTAACAGCTCATAAAAAGCAACTATCTACATTTTGAACTTGAAATAAGAGCCTCAATTGGAATTCCATATTTGTAACATGTTAGGCATATCTCTCTGAAACCCAATTTCCTCATATTATCTATCCTTTAAAGTTGTTTGAAAACATGATTTGTAGTTTATGAACATGAAAATTTAATGAGAATTTTACGTAGCTGAAAAATAATGAAATAATTTCTGGTGTATAGTGTTGTTTTTGGGTCCTGGTATAGTACTGTAGGATAAATATTGGACTGCTAACTGCGAGGTCGGCACTTCAAATCCAACGACTCCAGGGAATCGCTATACAGGGTCACTACCAGTTGGAACTGACTCGACGACACTTAACAACAACAGTATTATTTTGAAGTTCTGGTGTTACACTGTGTAGGATAAAGCATCGAACTGCTAACTGCAAGGTCAGCAGTTCAAACCTACCATCTGTTCCTCAGAAACCCTTTACTGGATTGCTATGAGTCTTTCAACTCCACAGCACTTAACAAGTATTGTTTTGAGGATTAAATGTGACAATATCTGTGGGTGTGTGCCTGTTCCAGAACGTTATAGTATTGAAAACATGATAAATGTTAAGTGCTGTTGAGTCGTCAACTCATAGCAGCCCTGGATAGGTTTTCTGAGGAGTGACTGGTGAGTTTGAACACCAATCTCTCAGTTTAAACCAACCTTGCAGTCCACTACTTATCCTACAGTGCCACATAGCTAGGAAATAAGGCAGAAGGGACTTTGAGTAGCCAAAATAGTGCCAACAATCTGAATTACCAACTATCATGCATTTTATTCATTGGAAAACTTGGAGAGTATTTTTGTCAGCTTATTTACTCTTAATCATATAACTCCAGAACTTTAAGCATCAAATCAAAAGTAGTAACTTTAGATGCAAGGGCGGGACACAGTTTAGTGGTTATGAGTGAGCCCAGCTGGAATACTTACTAGTGATGTAGCCTTGGTCAAGATACTTAATTTCTCTGTTTCTCAATTTTCCCATCTATAAAATAAACTCAATAAAATGATACTGATTTGTCTTATATGTTGTTTTTATAAATAATAACTTGTTATAAACTAATTTGTTATTGTTGTCAAGCACATAGTGGTGGTTAGTGGTTACGTGCCGTGGAGTCGGTTCCAACTCATTGTACAGGGTTTCCGAGTCTGTAAATCTTTACGGGAGCAGCAGAACGGCTCATCTTTCTCCCACAGAACAGCTGGTAGTTTCAAACTGCTGACCTTGCGGTTCTCAGCCCAATTCGTAACCACTATGCTACCAGAGTTGCTTAAGCACATAGTAGTACAATGGATTTCTCTTATATATGGCCTTTCTGGTCTTGGATTTATATGGCTGTTAAAATGATTAGCTGCATCACAGTCTTGCAAGGGATCTTGAAAAGTCACCCAATAGAATTTAGTCCCTTGTGTCCCAGCTTAGTGATTGATCAGTTTTGCCATCCTGCCAGTCTTATATAAGGTCAGTCCCATAGACATTCAGGGAGGACCTGAACTTCTCATTACCATCAAGAAGAGTCTGTAGCAGAGTGTGTCTTTTGAATTCAGGTCCCAAACCCTGAAGATAGAACCAGAAAAGAGAACTGGAGTATTAAACATGGCGGAAATGACTGCAAGTCCAGGGGCAGAGAAATGGAAGCAACAGTATAAGTGGCAAGAAACATGGGAGTGGCAGATGTCAGTGGTGGACCTGCCAGCCCATGGAGAGAGAGATGGCTACGGTGGTCTTGCTGACCTACAGAAAGATCTGAGCATCTTTGACAAAAGGCTTGCTGGCATGGCAGAGCAGGGTATCTTTGGACACTTGCTGATAGAGCAAAAAAAACCTGTAATTCTTACCCCAGCAGAATAGAGGCCTAGAAAAGCAAAGCAACAAAAGGACCTGGAAGAGGAGCCCAGGGGCAGAGCAGGTGATGCCGCAGAAGGCTGCTGCTAAGAGGACAGCTGTTAACCAGGCTTCTACACTGGTCATGAGTTGGACCAGTTAGCAGTGGAAAGGCTGATGATAGCAAGGAAGCCGAAGGCAAAGAGGGGCACCTGCACAGCCCTTCTTTTGTGCGTGCATGGCTGGGGAATGACCAAAGAAGGGTCTTCAGCTGGCAAGGCTGAAAAGGATCTGAGAGCTGTCCTGGTTGATGAACTGTATCCTGTCTGCTGAGATGTATCCTATACTTCCAAAATGATCCCGATCTCAATGTGTAGCCTATTATTTCCCTAATACACCTCATAACTGTGAGTATGGTCTGTGAGTTCTGTGTGATTACTGCAACTAACTATCAAACCCAGCAGAGATGTACACAGTTCTGTGAGTGGTAGTGGCTAGTATTAGAAATGGTTAGAAAGTTGGAGACTGGAGGTATGTCTTACCTCTATCTTGTAGGAATCAACTTTGTGCTGATCCTGGTTGTTACCTCTTGTGGATGCAGGCAACTTCAGAGATACTAGATTACATGTGTGTATATATATAGATCTTCCTTTGACTGCTTCACTCTATTTAAGTCTACCTCAAAATACACTCCCTAGATACACACTTTATTTTTTTTGCCTGTGGAGATGTGGTTTTGCTTGGAAAGGCTGAACAGTTCTGTTGCTGATGGGCCATTTTGTGGACCATTCCCTTGCAAGCCCCTTGATACTTTTCTTTCTGTGGAAATTTTTGTTTGCCTTCAGTTCTTTCTGCCTCTACCCTCCAGTGGAGCACTTAGCCGCTACTCTGATGCCACCACGGTCTCTGCTGCACCTTACTTTTACCCTGTTTCAGCCCTACATGTTGTTGTTACTCAGCTAACTGGGATTCCTGCTAACATGAGGCTAACTTGGCATAGATGGCCCTTAGCTGAAGGTGTGAAAGAAAGGGTTAGCGACTGAGGTGGCTGTGTTCTTGGCCACGCTGTTCAATTTTCCCTGGCACTACTGAAATACATGATGGTTATATGAATTTTACCATCAGTAGTTGCTATATAAATTAAATAGGTGATAATTTAGTTTAGCTTGCTTCTGTTTGGTTAATGGTTTGGATTAGAATATTTTGGGAGCAGGCCTGACTTTGACACCTAACTTTGAATATGTAATTTAGAGACCCAAGTTTGAATCCCAGAATTACATGTCTAGCTGAGATAATGTTTATACAGATTAACTTCATAAGGAGGCCTCATTTTGCCGTGGTGAAAGCACTTAGATGCTAACTGAGAATTTGGTAGTTCAAACCCACCCACTGACCGCTCAGCTGGTGACAGATGTGGCAGTTTGCTTCTGTAAAGATTATAGTTTTGGAAACCCTATAATGCAGTTCTACTCTGTCCTGTAGGGCCACTATGAATCAGAATCAACTTAACAGCTGTAGTTTTGGTTTAGTTTTGGTTTCAGTCTTTGTGATTTATTTTCCTTGTCTGCCCTACTTACTAAACAGAGGTACGATCAGATGGCATTGACATAGGAGCAAAATCTATCTTTCTTTTATATCTAATTTACTAAAATGTTTCATATATATTAATATTCTTCATTCCTAGTTCCCTTTGACATTTTTCCTTTCCTATTTGTAGTTTTATACTTTCAAAAGACTATTTTCTACCCTAGGTGTCTTCACTTTCATTTTTGCGAGCTAAAACTTTGAATCTAACTCACATTTCATTAAGTCGTCTTAGATCTTAGGGAGTTTTCCTGTCATAAATGTCAGCATGCTAAAATATTACTGTATCTAATACAGTCAATAATATTACAGTCTTAAGCTTTAAAAGGTCATCTTAGGCCTTATTGAGTAAATATCTATTTTTTTAGTTACCAGAGACAATTTTAAATAAAAAAGACTTATAATTGTGACATTTCTCTTACTGGCATACCTAGTCATTTATCTTTTGTATAACATCAATGAATTAATATTTTCTTTTTTTTTCTCAAGACTTTCTTTAGATTTTTTTACTTTACAATTATACATAAAATACTATTTTGTAGTCAATCACAGAGTAAGTTTTAAAACACTCTAAAATGTTTAATTTGGAAATGAATGTGAAATAGTGTTTGCGAATCCAGAAGGCTGTTGAATTTTCTTTGTGTTACCATTTTAATCTTACATAAGTATATTGATTGGATGTCCATGATTTAGAATTATTCACAAATCATAATGAGATGTGATGTATAGTTTTTAGCATTATTCGGTTGTTTCCATGTATCTATACTTGAAATTAAGACTATAGTTTCATAAATATATATATTTGTTGTTGTTGTTGTGTGCCATGGAGTCGGTTCCGACTCATAGCGACCCTGTATAGGGTTTCCAAGGCTGTAAATCTTTACAGGAGCAGAAAGCCTCATCTTTCTCCCACTGGTTACGAATCGGGCTGCAAACCGCAAAGTCAGCAGTTCGAAACTACCAGCTGTTCTGTGGGAGAAAGATGAGGCTTTCTGCTCCCATAAAGATTTACAGCCTCGAAAACCCTGTACCAGGGTCGCTATGAGTTGGAACCGACTCCACGGCACATAACCAACTATAACACAAACATCAAAAATAAAAAAAATACTGTCACATTTCTTTTAAATATTTTATTGTGAACTAGGAAACCCTGTACAGGGTCGCTATGGGTCGGAACCGACTCCATGGTACTTAACAACAACAACAATGTGATAGTTACATGGGAGAACATTAACTTTACCTTGATCCTATTGTATATTGTTTCATTGCCATGGTTACAGTCCCTTCCATGCATCATCAACCAACCAAAGGGTAGACCCTGCAAGCCTGCCCTCCGGTTGTCAGCACACAGCCCTTTACCCTCTCTGGGTCTGAAGTCCCCAGCTGCTCCAATTCTGGCATCACTGTTTCTCTGGGTAGGGTCCCATTCTCCACTCTTCTCCCTTGATGGTCCCAGGGACCTCTGCTCCTAGACTGCAAAGTAATCACTCTTCTCCTTGCTACAGAACATGTACCTTTACATTTCCAACCCTCACAATCAGTCCTGATAACAATTATTCACAATTGTATCACAAGAGACCTATCCGCATTTCCTTTCATCAGCCCCACCTAGACAGATTGGATACTACTCAGTGGAGATTCTTCTTTCCTCCATGCCCTCTGTATCTAGGTTCCCTCTTGAAAGCTTGTAAGCCAGTCACTTCTTGCATTTGCAGACCCCCAGTTTTGGGTAGCCAATGTCCAAGTTGCCCATCCCTGTCTACTCTGTGTAAGATTTGTTCCCTCTTTTGAGCTACTGCATCCATAGGTGTAGGTCAAGTTCATCAAATTATATCAGATTGCTCTTTTTTTCCACTTCTTTCTTCCTCTAGTTGAGCTCTGATCATCCAGTCACTGAAGCCAGGTCAAGTGGGTATTATCTGCATGTGTGGGTATTCTTATGCATATGCCCTCTTTTCTTATCAGCTGGACGGTTCACTTTCCACTCTAGTCCTCTGTGGCTATGTCACTGACTCTGGGCCCAAGAGTCCCCAGGTCTTACCACACTGCTGGCCAACCAGGTCTCCACCCAGGTTCATAGGAGTCTATTGAACGTTGTAGGGCTTAGCTCGCAGCTTTATTGCTGTTTTTCCCTCACTTCTTCCCCTTAATCAGTGATGAACTTGGTCACCTATCAGAGCATGTATTCCCACTGAGTCTTAGTCTTGGAAGGAGGTTTGCTCTGAGGGGACCCTACCACTTGCCTTGATGTCTCCTGGGCTAGCAACTTGCTTGTTCTTGTAGTAATCAGCCAGTCTGCCTATATTGTTTTGTATTTTTCCTGTAGGTCATTCTTTCAAGAAGTATCTTCTATTCTCCTAGCTGCTCCAGGGTGGTCTACCTATCCTTTCAAGTGGAAATTTCCCACCTCTGAAGATTCTGGATGCTGCTCAGGATTCCACCTATGGTCTTATGTAATGCAGAGGCTCCACAGGAAGCCTTCTTCACTGGGCATGTTGTAGCCCCATTTTAGGCATTCCAATCAGTTATAGGTAGAAAGAAGATGAATTTACAAGCTTTCTATGGTGATATTTCTGGCTGTTTCTTTCTCTCCCCCTCTAGTGTCTCTTTTATAGTGGTATGCCAGGGAAACCAAGATTCAAAAGACAGCCAAGCATATCTTAACATTATTCTCCCCCATTTCCCCATTCCAAATGTCTCAATCTCTGTATCCCAGAACCCTGTTGTTCCAAGGTTGTGCATACATCATTCTTTACCTCTGTCCCACTTAGCCCATGCAAACCTGTCTAATTGTTCTCCCATGCAATTCATTTTTTAAAAACAGAATGGTTGAAGTTTTTGTTGAAAAATATTGTATAAAGTTCTTCTAATTGAATGACTGGTTGTTGCTAAGTGCCGTCGAGTCAATTGTGACCCTACAGCAACCCTGTATACGGTTTCTAAGGAGCGGCTGGTGAGCTTGAACTGCTGACCTTGTGGTTCAAACCAACTTTGCAGTCCAGCGCATTACTATATTTTCATTTGGTCCTTCTTCCTTTGAGTAAACTTCAAAACTTCAAAAAGTTTAAGAAATTTTTTGGAAAAAATTTACGAAAATTTTGTGTTAGAGAAAATTCACTTAGGATGTTGTTACCTGGTGTGGCACTGCAGGATAAGCAACTACCAACCACAAGATCGGCGATTCAAAACCACCAGCTGCTCCTTGGAAACCCTTTATAGGGTTGTCTGTGAGTTCAAACCAACTCGATGGCACTTAACAACAATGACATTTTCATCTGGAGATTCCTAACCTGTATTTTTCTAACCCTATCAGTGCCTGGTGTGGCTATGTGGATTAATGCGCCAGACTGCAAATCCATTTGAACTGCAAGATTGGCAGTT